TTGTATGGCTCCCATGCCACCAAACCAGAGGACAGGGCTAGAGGCGAGATTTAAGAAGTGTTTGTGTTTCCAGAATGAGAGAAGCCCATGGACGCAAGAAGAGCTTGGGGAGAAAGGCGCTATGGCAGGTCCATCCCGAGGGAGAAACCTCTGCCGTCCTGTCATGACAGGCTGCAGGTCTGAGCCCAGGGACTCTGAGATTCCCTCCTTATGAGGGAGAAGTACTGGGATATTACAATGCTTTCCCACTAACAATGAATGCTCTCGTGGACTGCTTCACATTGTTCACAAGGGCAGTGAGCTGTGGTGCTGTTTCAGATTACACCTCAGGTAGAATTTCAGTGGTCCCTGGGATTTTCTATGGCTGGACACTGTGAGGCCAAGAAGCCTACAAACATGGCCCAGCTTCCGGCCTGAAAGTTGTTACCACCCATGCAGAACCAGGTAAAGAGCAAGAGGAGTAGAGGACACAGTGCTCCCATATCAGCCCTGCTGGGGTAGCTCTTCCCTTGACCTGGCGACTTGTGGAGGGAGAGGAATGTGGGCGGGTAGGAAGGAGCTCGTTCCAAGCATCATTTGCCTCTGTCTGCACTGCTTGGCCGTCCCTGGAAAAGGGTGTTTACTGTTCTAAGGACACTGAGAAAAACATGAGCAGACTCGGGCTCCGCCTGTATCTTGGAGCCATCCTCAGCCGTGCCTGCTCTTGGCTAGGCCTCTATAGGACACAGAGACTTGTAAGTGAGAGCAAACAAGCGCTTTATGCCATCAGCACTGGCGACATCCCCTGAGCTGCCTCGCTGTTGTAGTGGTTGGCTACTACAACCAAAAGTGGTGTGATACGGCATGAGAAGGGCCATGGGGGGTTAGAACAACTGATGGACCGATCTGGGCCGGGGGAGATGCTTCATGAACTTGTATATCATAAGCACTTTTTGGCTACTCATTTTTTTCAAGGTATTAATGCTCCCCCCAGAATACTTTAGATGAGGAAGTTAGAGTCTGTCAGTGCGTGTCAGAATTGTATATGAAAATCAGAGTCCATTATTTCACATACAACTCCAGGGAATTTGTTCATTTGTCCCTTGGTGTCTGTGGGTCATTGGCTTAAGATCTTCTGGATACTGCAGGGTGCTCAAGCCCCTTACACTTCATGAGCTGTGTAAGCCTCCTGCATACTCTGAATCATGTCTGGGTCACATATGATATCAAACACAAAGGAAATACTATATGTCTTGTTACTGTAATGTCTCGCTTAGGACCATGGGAAGAATGATGTTTGTGTAAGCATAGCAGAGATCCTGAGAAAGAACCAGAAAGCCAAGTTTCCCAGCCATGCTTTCTGACACTGCTGAGTCGTCGTAACAAATGGGTCTTTCAGATACAAAACCATTCTGTAAGAGGGAGGGAAACTGGAAGAGAATTTCTAAGTGAAGACTTTCATAAAATGCTATGAGAACTCTGGAGTGGAAAAAATTTCCATCATGGGACTGTATGGGTACAAGTCTCTAAGCCCCCCAGGCTTACAACCCCCAAACTCAGACAAGCCGACCTCCTTCCATCTGGGACCTCACCATGGTCTTGGCCCCTCTTTGGGCTCCTCCACCTCCTGTGCAGAAAGCTGTATTCGGGGATGCAGCGAGATGTGTATTTTCTCAGTTCTCCCCTCCACCTTCTGTTGGAATTGAGGAAAAGAGCTGTCTAGATGGAAATTCCACTCCACGGCTTTAAGCGTGCCTTTAAATGGTGCGCTGATCTACTCACACGCTGACTGGCTGGCGTCACCTGGGGGAAATAACGCTTTCTGATGCAGGGTCTCCTTTCAGCTGCAGTTTCACAGGGCCTTGGGTACTTTTTGAAAGCTCCCCGGTGATGCTGGTACCCAGCAATGCTGAGAAGCATAGTGGGAACTTCCTGCAGAGACATGGGTGGGTCAGAGTCTGGGGCCTCACAGTCCCCTTGCTTCACCTAAGGAGTCAGCTGTGCATGCCAAACCCTGGTCAGACCATGTCTGAACACGAAAGGGCGAGGGTGAAGGGCTCTGTGAACTGTTCCCATGGCTGCACCAGCGCCATCTCGGTAAGGGTGCTCAGCCCTGCTTCTGAATGCAATAAGCAACCACGAGACAAAGTGAGATCAAGGAGCTGAATTTTCCCCAAAGCGTTTCCATTCCAGGTCCCAGGTTTTGAGGTTTTTCTTCCTTGCGCACCACTGACCCCGTTTATCCCGTCTGTAATGAGACTGAGGCCAGGAAATCAGCTGACAAGGGAATCAGTTTTGATTTTGGGAAATGACATATTGAGACAGAGAGATGGTCAGGGCATGGGTTCCCTCTCAGATGGTGAGGCCCAATCTCACAGAGGACAGCGACAGGCTCAGGTATGAGTTCCTCAGCTTTGGCGTTTGTCTTATCCTGGAGGTGTGTTCTCACAGCACTGCGGGCCAGAAAACAGCACATGGCCACACAACCACTGTGCAGCAACCCAGAGAGGGCGGAGTTTCCCATGCGGGTCCCCACTGAGACCCAGAGAAGCCCGTCTTGTTGCTGCGGAGAAGACAGAGCATCATACCATCTGCGCTTTGGAAGGAGTACCAGGCTACAGAGTGACGCCTGTTGCTACCTGATGAATTTAGGCCTCCTCAGACCTTTATCCAGGTGCTCCTGAAGACACACCAACACTGTCCAAGCTCACTGCGAGGAAGAGCTTCATCGCTACGCACCGCTACGCACCCTTACGCACAGGCTGCCACACGGTCCTACGGGAAGTTATACCGCCCGAGGCAGACTATGACCCTTTGCCAACTCTGGTAGAGGCCTTAAGGTTTATAACCACAGAATAGACGGAAGACGTGAGGAGTTTAGAGAAACCTATGGACCTCGGGGTACCCTGATTTCACTGCTATCTCAGGGTGACCCCCCAACACCACTGAAGAGCAACGGCACCCAGGGCAGAATCAGTGTGTGTTCTGGGAAAGGAATTCACAGGAAGCGAGACTGTTCCCTCCCGTCACCCCAGAGAGGGCAAGCTGAGTGGCATTCCACACTGAGCCCAAGCTCGGATCTGGTCCCCTAAGGGGGAAAGTCACCCCCTGGACTGAAGAGACTTGAGGCTCTCCCACCTCCCTCCCAAATTCACCATCACAGGAGCAGGGTCTCCTTGACTGCAACGGGGAAACAGTTTAAGCGGTCAGCCTAAAGCAAAGGAGCTTCATTCTCCTTCCAGATGACGCCTGTTTCTGCTTCTCCTTAGAGAGAAGAGATAGGTTTGGAAGAGCCAGAAAAGTCCTCACCAGCTAGCTTTCTTTGATTGTCCCAGTCCTAAACTCATACATTCCTCACAGACAAACAAACATTCCGCACAGAAAACAAAGCGTGGCCCTGGAGTTGCTAGTGAGATTTATTGAGCATGGATTCTGTAGACCACCCTTATCCATAAGGAAGGGAAAGGGCAGGGAGTCCCATCTCAGTCCTGGGGCCCAGTATTTATCTAAAATTTGAATCTCCTCACAGTCACAGTCCTGTGTGCCCTATCGAGACTCACAGGAAGCTGCGGGACTTCCTTGGGGTTGGGGCAGCCTCCATGGTTTTGGCCGTGCTTTGGCCAAAGTATTAAGAAAACCACCTAAGAAAGGGGATGGGGCTGCAAACACAGACACGTGCTATTTGATAAGGTCTAGAGGCCAGCACTGTGCTCCAAGGGCACTGTGAGCTACAGGCTTTTAAATGTACCCTCAGGGGAGGGACCAGGACCACGCCTGTCACTAGAAGAGTCAGGGGCAGAGTCCTGTGCCTCCAGACATCGCAGCCAGAAACACATGATGTCAGCCAGGGCCTGTTCAAATCTAAGAAGCCTTGCTGATTTCTCAACCCGGCCTTCTATCTCTAATGAGAAACAGGCTTTGCAGGATCGCGCTATTTAAGCCATCTCCCTCACTGAGGACTTCAGTTCTCAGCAGTCCGGGTGTCCCAGGCCAGCTCTGTGATTGTGTAGGCTTCCCTCCTCGCCCCTTCAGGGTGGCCCGGACACCCTAGCCTCTGTTGTGCTCCTTCGTGCCTGAGAAAATCCCTCCCCAGGCCTCCCTGTGTGGAGCTGCCTGCTTTACTCCTGCCTTGAGCCGAGCAGGAGAACCCCTGGACGGGGATGCCCAGTGGCCTCCTGTGAGCTGTGCTCCCATCCCCGGCAGGCAAACAGGTAACACCGAGAGCCGATGGTCAATCTCGAGAAGCCTTCTTGTTGCTGTTTCCATCATCTGCCCACGTGGGACCAGGGAAAGCTCCCTGACAAGTAAAATTGGAGGACTGTGTGGCTGCTAGTGATTTGTTGGCTCGTTCACGAATTTACCACTGAGTTGGGGCAAGGTAGGACGCCGAATAAAATGAAGCGTGTCCTCATCTACACAGCGCTTACGTGAGTTCAGCAGAGTGTTGCAGAAGACCACGGAGCCAGAGAGGAGAGTGGAGGGCGGCAGACTCGGGTCAGAGAGCGCTGCAGGTTTACCTGCAGGTGTGGAGATTCCTTACTCAGAGAGCGGGGTGTGGACACAGGGAAGGAGGAGAAAAGGTACAGGGTGGCCCGGGCAGAATCCACTGCTTCCATTTCAGGGGTGTGTGTGTGTGTGTGTGTGTGTGTGTGTGCCTGCAGGGTTCATGTTGGCCACAGGGAGACAAATACAAATGGTTGGAGAATGTACAGACTAAGTGGGCACAGTGGTGCATGCCCATAATCCCAGTGCTGAGGGAGGCAGAGGCAGGAGGATCTCTGTGAGTTCCAGGCCAGCCTGGTCTGCAAAGAGTCCAGGGCAGCCAAGGCTACATGGAGGAACCCTGTCTTGAAAAACCAAAACCAACTAAGCAACCAAACAAACAAAATGTGTAGACTAAAGGTTCCCCTTCTCAGGTGCAGTTCAAGAGCCTATTCTGTCTCCTACCCCACGCCCCACCCCAGAACCATCTTCCTGTGGAAGCTCACACTCCCACTTGACCCCTCTTTTTCTTCTTGCAGGCTGCAAGGGTCCTGGGCCCTCTGGAAGTTGGTGTGGAAGATGCTGATCTTGTGTGTGTTACTAACTGGGGTTTCTGCTTTCACCACTCCATCAGTGCGCACAGAAAGGGCTTCCGGACCTCCCAGTACGTCAGAGACTCACACAGGTAAGAAACAAACACAGGGAAAGGGCCGGACCCAGCTTCTCCAGGGGAAACAGTTCTTGGGAGGGGGGGTCTGCTAACCAACAGCAAACTACAAATATTCATGGCTTGGCAAGTGACCACAGATACTCCCGTCGGTTCGCTGCAGCCTGGGCGTGCGTCTCCTGCCGGGAAGAGAATGAAGAGCATGGCCAGTTCACCTTTATTCAAAGATACATTTGTTTTGGAGTTTGAGATGCCCGGGAAAGGCCACAGACTTAATCCGGATTGTAATTTGTTAAATTTGTTGAAGCTGTTAGCAGGACAGCAATCTCTGAGCTAAATTAGAGACTGTGGCTCAAAGCCAGGTGAGGGGAGGATTTTTAAAGGAGGGAAGCACAGGAGTACCTGCACAAGCAAGAGCCAAAAGTTCTTCTGCTCTGCCGAGATTAGGTGGTCAAGGCGACTTCAAAACAGTCCTTGAATGTCTGCGTAAGAAGGTTACAGAAGCCAAAAGAGCAATTATATCATAACAGGTAGATGTCACGGCTGTATATTTCCAGGCGGGGAGTCAGGGTTACTGGGAACTTATCTTCCAAGGACTGGACTCGAGACAAATGGCTAGAGGGTACTTAGCATAACATGGAGTTTCTTTAGCCATCACACCTTTGATTTTAGACATATAGCCTGTCACAACCAACCCCTTTTGTCTGTATTTACATAGTTCAACTTTTGATATTAACACATGAATATGACCGTGGTTTTAAAGCTTTTAGAAAAGATTTGAAATCTTGCTTTTATGTGTGTGTGTGTGCACATGTCTGTGTGTGCAAATGCCCTGGAAGGCCAGAAGAGAGTGTCAGATCCCCTGTAGCCTGAGTTGCAGACGTTTGTAAGATTTCTGATATAGATGCTGAAGGATTTCCAACCCCCATTAATTTCCAACCCCCATTAACTTTTATTAATTATACTTTATTCACTTTGTATCCCCCCATAAGCCCCTTCCTCCTCCCCCTTCTTCACACATGCCCCTTCCCAAGTCCACTGATAGGGGAGGTTCTCCTCTCCTTTCTGATCTTAGTCTATCAGTTCTCATCAAAAGTGGCTGCATTGTCATCTTCTGTGGCCTGGTAAGGCTGCTCCCCCCTCAGGGGGGAGGTGATCAAAGAGCAGACCAATCAGATTATGTCAGAGGCAGTCCCTCTTTCCATTACTATGTAACCCACTTGGACACTGAACTGCCATGGGCTACATCTGTGCAGGGGTTCTAGGTTATCTCCATGCCTGGTACTTGGTTGGAGTATGGGTCTCTGGGAAGATCCCTGTGTTCAAATTTTCTGGTTCTGTTGCTCTCCTTGTGTGGTTCCTGTCCTCTCCAGCTCTTACTATTTCCCACTTCTTACATAAGATTCCATGCACTCTGCCCAACCGTTGGCCATAAGTCTCAGCATCTGCTTTGATAGTCTGCAGAGCAGAGCCTTTCAGAGACCCTCCGTGGCAGGTTCCTAACTTGTTTCCTGTTTTCTTCTTCTGGTGTCCATCCTCTTTGCCTTTCGGAATGGGGCATTTTTTTTTTTTTTTTAATCACAATATGAACCTGATTTAGCTGCCTTCACAGGATAGAACTGGAAGGTTATCATTCCGGAGGTCTAAGGCCGTAGTAACAGAGGGTACTGCGCTCAGGACCTGGGTGCAGGGCGTTTGGAATAGACAGGCTCTTCCTCAGATGTGCTGTGTGTCTTTGGGTTGGGGTGCCCGCAGTTTGGGGATGTGCTTTTGTGATGTGAGTGGGTTTGGGACCTAACGCCTACTATGTCTGACCGGCAGTGCCTGGAGACAACTGCCGGTTTCGAGGCCAAGATTACAAATCCGAATTCAGGCTGGAAGGAGAGCCAGTGGTTCTGAGGTGCCCCCTGGCACCTCACTGGGATGCCTCCAGCAGTTCCCACAGCCTTCTGACGTGGCATAAATCGGGCTCTTCTCAGCTGATCCCAGGGCACAAGCCGAGGTTGTGGGTGAAGGATGACACTCTCTGGCTTCTTCCAGCGGAGCAGCAGGACTCTGGCACCTATGTTTGCACATTCAGGTAAGTCCCTCTGGGCCCGGGGCAGTGTGGCTCCAGGCAGAAGGGACTCTAAGGGTTTCAGTGACAATTGTACTTCAGAAAGTACACAGATGGCAACTCGCAGTATGTTTTCCTTGGCAGCCCTGAAAAAATGCCTGTGCTAGTTTTATATATAATATATATGTATACGTGTGTATATATAATATAGATATGTATATGTGTGTGTGTGTGTTTGCTGCTGTTTTGTTTTCCTGTCAACTTGACACAACCTAGCTTCTCTTTGGATGAGGGTAGCGCAGCTGAGGAACTGTCCCCATCACACCGACCTGTAGGCAAACAAGTGGAACGTTTTTGATTAATGAAGTACGTAGAAGGACGCAGCCCAGAGTCGTAGTGAGCGCTCTACTGCTGCGAAGAGACACCATGGCATGTCGGCTCCTATGAAAGAAGGCACTTGGTCGGGCTCACTTACAGCTTCGGAGGGCTAGTCTGTTGTCCCCATGGCGGGAAGCACAGTGGCCTGCCAGCAGACATGGTGCTGGGAAGGAGCAGCTCAGGCAGCAGGAAGAGAGAAACCCTGGGCCTGGCTTAGGCTTCGGAGGCCCCAAAGTCCATCCTCCAGTGACCCACTTCCTCCAACAAGGCCACACCTCATCTCCCCACAGTTAGTACCACTCCTTAATGACCAAGTATTCAAATAGATGAGCCTCTGGGGCCGTTCTCACTCAAATAACTGCAGCCACCGTGGAGCAAGCTGTTCCTGGTTCTATAAGAAAGTAGGCTGAACAAGTGAGGAGGTGGTGTTTCTCAGAGGCCTCTGCTCGGGTTTCTGCCTCTAGGTTCAGGCCCTGACTTCCCTTCATGCTGGACCGTAAGCTGTAAGCGGAAATGGATCCTCTCCTCTCCTAGTTGCTTTTAGTCATGGTAGTCCTCTCTCTCTTATGGCCTAGTGCTTTTGAAAAGAAATGATGTAAAATGCGTATGACGTAGGTCCTGCCATGCTAACTTCCTCTAAGTGAACAGCTCGAGCGAGTTAAGTACTTCCATGCTTGCACTTCCATCATCACCATCTTCCTTCCGAACTTCTTCTTCCCAACTGGAGCTCCGTCCTCCTGTCCTCCTAAAGCTACAGCTAGCTGTCCATCTGTTCCTCAGCCCCCAACAGCGGCCATTTTCCTTCTGTGTCTATAAATCTGCATCGTCTGGAAGCTTCATGCCAGTGTTAAAGCCCATGTTAGAGTCTCCTTCCTTTTCAAGGCTGACTGTTGCTGTCTCCTGGTGTGAACACTCTACATTGTTTGTCCATTCCGTGAACGCGCAGGTTTGTTCTGCTCTGTGGATTTCTTCAGGAAGACCATTATGAATCTGCCATCATGGCCACCTAGCAACTTATGTCTGATTTTATTTTGTTTTTAAGACTTGCAGTCTCTTTTCCACAGCAGCTGCACTGATTTCCATCCCTGGATTCTGTTGCTTTCCATTCTTGCCAGTGCTGGTTGCTCTTTTATTTTCACATGATGTTCTACTGTGTGTTTGAATGGTGTCTTGAGCCCTTGATTTTAGTTTCCTGGTGTTTCAGATTTCCGTGTCCTTCTTGGCCACTTGTATACACTTGTTGGAGAAATGGCCGCTCAAGTCCTACTTGTTTTGAGAACTGCATTGTTTATTGCTGTTGAGTTGGAGGGGTTTGGAATGTCTACTGCTTATCGGCTGTATGACCTGAAGATACTTTATCTCACTCTGGCTTGCTCATTCATTCCATTGGTAGTGTCCTTTACACAAACACATTCACATTTTGATGAATTCTAAATTATGTGCTTTTCTATTTTTGTTTTCTGAGCTCAGGAACTCACAGATGAATTCAAAGTAACGAAGCTTTCCTTTTTGTTTTCTTCTGTAAATTTATAGATTTAACTCCTGTTTCAGGTTTCTGATACGTTTTGAGCTGTTTCTTTGCATACAGCATGAGGCAAGTCTAGTTCTGTTTTTGCATGGTCTCTCTTGCTTTCTCATCACGGTTTGTTGAAAAGATCATAATTTTTTGCAGTGATTGCTGCTGACATGTCCTGCCGCTTCTTGAAGGGTGAAGTTGTTGGCTTTGTGTTGGTGATCTTAATAGTTCCCTGGTGCAGTTCTGAAAGGATCAGGACACACCCTTGGCATGACTGCAGAGGAGCTTTTCCTCTCCAGATGGCTGCCTCTGCTTTTAGGCTGGTGCTTGCTCCATGTCCTACCGGTTTCAGATTCCTTCGAGAGTCCATTAACTCAGCTATGTAGAACTTGTCCAGGGCATTGACACCTAGGAGATCCAGACACACTGACATTGTTAGCATGAATGGCGGAAGTTCAGACATCAGCACTACCATAGGTGAGGTCTGTAAAAAGTGTGCACACACTGGGAAGATGCCTCAGGGGCTCAGTGATCACGCTGAGCCTGGGGTCGGCTCCCAGTGCCTACACTGGGTGGCCCCCAGCCAACTAACTCCAGCTCCAGAGGATTTAACACCTTTTCCCAGCCTCAGCCAGCACCCAAACACACAGGTACACACACACACACACACAATTGAAAATAGAAGAGGTATTAAAAAAGAAAAAAGAAAAAAGAAAGCACATCACATGTGTTTGTGATGCAAGAATTCTTTCAGCTCAAATCCAGCTTGGTGCTCTGGTCCATGTGCCTCACTTCCCTGTAAGTGGTTTAGGGGAAGCTTCACACAGTCAGCGACTTGGTGAGGGAGCAGGCAAGTGGTCTCTCACATCTAAGTCAGTGAAATAGGAACATCTGACTTTGCAGAAGGCATCCCTCCAAGGTTTTCCAACTGACCTTCTCTGAGGAACATTGCCAGGAAAACTTAGAAGTGTATTAGAAAAACAAACAAACAAACAATAAAAAAAAAAAAACAACCAACCAACCACCAGCACCACCACCACCACCAACAGCAGCAGAAAAACCTCCATCTTGGAACCTGAAAGACATAATGGGGATTTTAGCCCTTCCCCTTCTTATCCTGACTTTTACGGTTCCGTTTTCTTCCCTATTGAGTATTTGTTGGGGGCAGGGTTAGGTGGGCTAGCCACAGCATGGTAAGGGTCTGGTGTATTGAGAGCCATGGTCTATATGTAGAGCCCCTGCCAAGAGGTACAAGTCCAGGAAGAAGTGAATAGAGGCATGTGGCGTGTTGGTCTTGTAGCTAGTTTTTGTGCTAGAATGAGAAAAAAGGGAGCTCTGAGATTTGAGGGGCGGTGAAAACCTCGGTGTGCTTGCCTTCTCTTCCGACTGTAATCCTGAGCTTCATTCAGTGTTGGAGAAGTCAGAGTGGAAATCTGCAGCAGCTACTGGGACACACTGTGACATTCACAGTTCCAGGACACGAGACTGCCCTGCTCTTCCATGTTTGTGCTTACGCTATTGGGAACTCACATGACCTTTCTACCACTCAGCGTGGTCAAGATAATGCTGCCAGAACAAACAGTCCCGAAATCTCAATGTTTTGTCCAAGGGGAATTCTGAGATAAATAACGTATGCAAGCTTGGTTCTGGAGACTTCTCCTGGTTTGTGGGATTTTCAAGGGCTGTGATTTTTGTCTCTCAGTAGCTCCAGAGACTCAGAAGCTTACTAAAGTTCTTAATTGACTGTCGGTGGAAACACCATAATGATTGTTACCACTTGTGTGTGTTTCACTGGCCTGAGATCACTTCCCTGTAACAGACTTCTCATTTGTATCTCTTCAGTTGTGATGTGATTGCTAGGATTTCCTACATCTTTCTTGTTGTTTGCTACAGTAAGGATAACTTATCAGTGGCCAGAGAACTGTGAAGGTGACACCTGCTTCCCCTGGTACCCAGTAACTGCCTGGAGCCCTTCAGTGAGGCGTGGGCTCCTCCCCTGGGCTTTGGACAATCGCAGCCCAGTCTTATATTGGAGACCACGCTGCTCTGAACCCATGAATGCAGTGGCCTGGCCATATCCAAAAGATGCTGTTTCATGGCTTTCCCTTCAGTCTCTGGGTGTTACATTGTTCCCACCCCCTCTTCTGCAATGCTCTCTGTGTCTTAGGGTGGTGATGTGAATGTCCTATTTGGGGCTGAGCACCCTGGAGTCTCCTACTTTTTACCGGTGTAACAGCGCTGAGTCTCTGAATCTTCACCCACTGAACACAGAGACTTCTCTGCTGAAGGATGAGAGCCACATTCGTCTGTGGCTAAATACGTAAATACTTCGGAGTAGTTTGAGACCATGTCATTTAACAGAATAGGGCTTCCATCAGGGCCTATGACCTTTCCAGCCACAGAGAGCAGATTTACAGATCCAAGTGTGAGTTTCTTCCTGTGAAGGAAGCCTCAGATCCAACCAGAGAGTAGTTGGTTGCCTCTCTATATGAACCGTGCCGTTACTACATCAGTGGGCATACCTTGCCGGGCAGGAAGCTGCCGCTCGTGGCATAGCCAGTTATGCCGCTGATGACTTTTCTCCCCCAGCAATTTGCATAGCCTTTTCAATACTCTGCGAGCTAGCCAGCGGGGAAGGAACTTCCGGCACAGATCCAGATGGATTTCTCAATGTCCTGCAAATCCCAAGTGTGATTACTCGTTTTCTTTTAAAATTGAGAGCTAACATTTTCTTTGTGCATAAATTTCCCCTCTGATTTCATTTTTCTTGTCTGTATTGTTTTCAATTTATTTTTAAAGCTTTCAGCCAGTTAAGTGGTTATCAAACTTCTTTCGTATATATTTGCTGTATTTTGTTGCTTCTTTGGATGAATATTGTTAGACTTTTGTGTGTGTGTGTAAAACTTTTACAACATATTTGCAGTTGATTCTCATGGCCTCAGTTGAGGTTGTTATTCATTTTATATAGCTATTCCTCTCAGGGTTTTAGCTGATATAATTATATTTTTCTTTTTTTTTTTTTGTTTTTTTGTTTAGTTTTTTGTGTACTGCAGATAAAATGCATGGCCTCATCCGTGCTAAGCACAGGCTCCACTACTGCTCTGCCTTCCAACCCTTTGTTTTTGTTTTTCATTTTAAACATTAAATTTTGTTAATCGTTTCTATGTCTTCATCCATTCACCCTCACATTTTCAGCCATACTTTTACCTCTGGCTTTTTCTCACTCCTAAGGGCTTGACAAAATCACATACTAGGACTATGGGTGGGCTGATGAACAATTAAAAACATCTTTTGGGATGAATTGTTTTCCTCACCCCCTGCCATGCCGTTTTGTTCTCTTTCAAGAGCCCAAACACAAGATTCTCAGCAGTTTCCTGAGACTAGAAATCAGTTGGCAAAGGATTCCAAGGGGAAGAAAAAGGAATTTTTCTTTTTTATGTAACTGAAATAGTGTTTCTTGGGAAACTATGTATTTGGATATAGTTCTTTGGAGCATATGCAGACTTGGTTCAAGGCTCCCGAATTTAAACTCTCTTTGGAGAAGGCTTGGGAGAGGGGCATGTTCTTAGTGTCCTGGGTGCTGGAATGAGGCCTCTGGGGGTCCCTCATGAAATGCACAGGACACATGGCCACTAGAGAGTCCTCAGACATGATGCTTTTGTACGCAAGAACTTAAAACAAACAGGAGGTCAGCAGTACTCGGCAAGATGACAGAGACAAGATTCAATGGGGGTGGGAAGTTGTTCTCAGCTTCACTTCGTTTTTGTCTTTCTGTCCTTGCATTCATTGCCTCTTTCTTTTTTCCTAACAAACAATTAGAAATGCGTCCATCTGTGAGCGAATGTCCGTGGAGCTCAAGGTCTTTAAGGACACGGAAGCTTCTCTGCCGCTTGTCTCCTACTTGCAAATCTTAGCTGCCTCGGCCACCGGGTGGCTAGTGTGCCCTGATTTGAAAGAATTCATCTCCAGCAAAACTGGCGGAAAGACACAGTGGTATAAGGTATGCTTCAGAACGTGCGTGCCACTAAAACATGTCTTGCAGCCCGCAGAACACATATGCAAAACTTGTTTGGAGACAATGTATTTATGTAGACACACATGCAATTATATATTAAGAAAGATAATATATATGCAAATATAATATAAAATATATTAAAATAGTGGTGATTAGTATTGTCTTCTAGTCCTTCTATGGTTTGGGTAAGGTTCATGTAGAAAGAATAGGAAATGATTCCAGAGGAAGTAGCTGCTGAAGAGCTTTTAGGTGCCACTTGCCTGAAAATAAGTAGGAAAAAAAAAAAAAAAACCAAAAAAACCAACCCTGTTCATTTCTAAAAAAAAATTAATACATTTTTTTTTTAAAGTCTCTTTTAAAGTTTAATACAACTTTTGGGTTACAGGAGCAAACACAGTGACAATTTCCTCTCTGTCTTCTTAAGTAAGCAGCAGGTGCTTTACGGGTTCTTTGTGAGGTCATCAGACATGGTCACGTTGGGCACAGGCCACAGATGACGGCCTGCAGGCATGCAGAGCCTGTCTCTGCGTAACTCATCAGGAGTGGCGGGCTTTCAGTCTTTAAGTGCTTGAAAACAATAGAGGAATGCTTTAGCGCTCATGACCCTGACTCTGGCTCACACTCCGACGTCCATAGCACATTTGTCCTGGGACACAGCTATGCCGTCAGTTTCCAGATTGTGTCTGCATCACTGTAGTTGTGACAGAGACCTCGGGGACTCTGACGGTACTAACGTATGTCCTACCTGGCTCTTACCTGAAAGAACTTGTCAGCCTCTGATACAGATGCCAGGAAGTGTAGTATTCGGTCGTGATAAGAATTAGCCCTGCATTAAACAGGCTAACCGAGCTCCTGGTGTTAAAATGGCAGAATGTAAGTGCATGCCCGGGCACACTCAGATGCACACATTTGTTCACGTCATAGCAATGCAATACTGGACATTTAAAATTGCTTTTCTGAGAGCAGTCTGTGCCTGTGTGCGGGCCGGTGAGCTGGAGAGGGCCTTGTCTTGGTTCAGGAAGAGCGTGCAGAGGACAAACGCCAGGTCTCGCCTGCAGGGGTAGGACACAGATCTGCAAACAGCACATCTGGGTTAGAAAGCTGTTTCCTTTCTTCTACTGCGGTTCCCTTGCTTCCCTTCTTGCACCCGCTTCTGCTGTGAAATAGAATTAGCAATTCTGGCTCCCTGCAACTGTTCTGAGGGTCAGGAGAGGAGCTGTGGGCAGGAGGCACCCGGCATGGTGCTGGCAGGCACCTCCCCCATGCTTCCTGAACGGGACTAGCATGTCAGCGTTAACAATAGCTGTTCCCTCCACGATCATGCTGAACACTGCCGACATCCTGTTCTAACCTCAACGAGCACTTTAACGAGGCAGGGAAAGGAACGAAGAAACTGACCCAAGGCCTCAGTTTGTAGAACAACTGTGATTCTGTGCGTGTTCATATTTGTCTACGCAAGTTAGGGGTTGTGAAATCTCCCCCTTTAGTTAAGTATATTTTGAAGACAAGCTGCCGACTGTCTCAGTTTTGTCTGTGTTCTCATCCAGTGTAAGATTATGATGTCACTCAAGGTTGTGTTGGATTACTGAAAGCCTTTAGTTTTGATCACAGTTTGCTCCTCCCTCCCTCCCTCTTTTTCTTCCCTCATTACTCTCCCCCACCATTCACTCCATTTGATAGGGTTTTTTCTATGTAGCTCAGTCTGGCCTCAAACTCATAATCCCCCTGCCTCAGCTTCCTAGGTACATTATACCATGTATGGGTTTCGTGGGTTAGAAAGCAATATACTGAGGCCATGGGGTGCTCAGGATTTTCTTCCTGTCTGCTTCTCCTGTTTTCCTGAAGGTCGAGCTCCCCAGGGCTTGGTTTGGCTGAGAACTGACAGGGCTCCATGTCTATGTGAGAATGTGGACCCATCTCTCCAATTTATTTACTTACAAAATTTTGTCTCTTGCAGAAAGTCCTAAAACTGAAATGATTGTTAAAGAGATTTCTGCCACATGTTCTCTTGCAACCCTGTTTTCCATGTTTTCATGCCTGTGGAACAGTGACTTCCCTGGGTACTGCTCATAGTCAGTAGCAGGCAGCTGGACCTTAGCTATATTCAAATGATCCAAAATAAGCTGATCTTTAAAAAAAATCAAGTTTTTAACCAATTCCTTTCCCTAAACTGGGTGTGGGACCCCGTCCATGTCATCCCGGACTCCTGGAGGCCAAGACAGAAGATCCAAGACTTTGAGGCCAATGTGGGCTATGTGCGAAGGCCCTGCCTCAAGAATAAATAAATAAATTTCCCTAAAAATACAGACAGAAGCATTCCCCAAGGACAAAATTGTCAAAGTGAGCCTATAGCAGGGGATCTTGGGTTGTAGACTCCACACTGATTGACAGCCGAGATACGGCCCTCAGTGTGGAGAGCTCTGTTGGTCTACGATGTAACTTTAAGGTGCATTTTTCCTCAGGGCTCCGTCCTCTTGGAGGAAGGCAACAAGAAGTTTGTGAGTGCGGGAGACTCCACCCGCTTGCTGATAGCCAACACATCCACGGAAGACGCGGGCTACTACAGATGTGTGGTGTCCTTTACCCACAAGGGCAAGGAGTACAACGTCACCAGGAGTATTGAGCTCCGGGTCAAAGGTAGGCACTCACCGCTGGGCCGCCTGCCTTACCTGGCTCTGGAAGCAGCAGGATGGCGAATTCAGGATCACCCAGAAGGCTTCATGAGTCCTCGGCATGAAGGCAAAGAAAAACATGTGTCAACTATTCTAAGTGTTACTAAGACACACGCTTGATAGTCTGAAACACTAGGGAGTTCTGAGAGAAGGAGAATTAATTAATTCTTGGGCCGGTAAGGGGGTAGAGTGGGTATTTGAAAGTGGCAAGGCTAAAACAGCTAGCCAGGGGTCCTTCTGGTGACCGGAAGGAGCGAACACTCTGAGGTGACCAGGACGCACGTGTCATGCCCGAGAATACACTTCTGAGGTAAGGAGAGTTTGCTGCGGGGGTTCTCAACCCGTGGGCCGTGACCCCCTTGGTGGAGGCGGTCATATATCAGCTCTCTTGCATATCAGATATTTATATCACAAGTCATAACAGGAGCAAACTCACAGCTTTGAAGAAGCAGCGAAGTAATTTTATGGTTGGGGATCACCACGGCATGAAGACGTGTGTTAAGGGGTCCCAGCATTAGGAAAGTTGGGAACCAGTGTTTTAAAGTGTGGGCACGGCCTGTGCAAAGTGCCCATGTTGTCTGCCAAGGGCATGTCTGGTTGCCCTTCCTACAGGTTGAACACCACCTGCCCGAAAGTTTGACAATAGAAACCTTTAGAATCTGATTTTTTTTGTTTCCAAATAAATTACAATAAACTGTCTTATTTGGCTTAAAAAAAAAAAAGAATCTGATTTTTTTTTTCATGAATTGGCATATTTTCACCAGCCTAAGGACATATCCTGGGCATAGGCAGAAGTTTAAGCATGAAATTAGTTTACACTCATATATATTTTACACATAACCCAAAGATAGTCAGATGTGATGCTTTCTTTCATGTTTTTGAGACAGGGTCTCAGGCTGTACTTAGAACAGCTATGTGGTTCGGGGCCTCAGGCTGGCTTCTATCTAGAGAGTCTATTGTGGCCTTTCTGTTCAATTCCAGACCACTGCCACCAGGACGGCTATCCCTGTGTTTTAATTAATTCTGCGCATTAAAACAACACTTTACAGTATGGAATTTTCTATGCACAGCATTGCGTTGGTGCTCAACAGGTTTCCGACTCCAGACTTCAGATTTCAGGGTTTCATCACCCCTGGAAAGGTGATGTCTAGCCCACACCAGAAAACTACATGTGAAAAGAGTGTGCTAGGCAGGGTAGGCCAGCATTTAAAACATGTAATGTCTGCCCCCGGCTCTTATGTGCTGGAGAGGAAGCTGGAAGAAAGGAGAATAAAATAGGTGAGCCCCAGACTATGGAGAACATTCAGTATTACTCTGTACTGAGGATCAGACACAACTGGAGCCATTACATGGCAGCTTCAGAGATCCGTGGGAACGCTGGGCTTAAAAGACTGCCCCTGTGAGGGGAAAGGACTTATCTCGCAGAACCGAGAGGGACATTTGTGTCACAGGGAATATTTTACTCTCCATGAACGAAGCCTTTGCTTCTACTTGTTACCCCTACCCTGAGAATCCACGCCCTTTCAGGGTGGTGCCATACCGCATGGAAACACCAGGGGGCGGCAGACCTGCATGCTGTGTGCTGAGATTTGCCTTTGGGTAGGCAGTAGTGATTCTCAAAGGCTGGTCCTAAACCTAGCTGAGCTCTCCTCCGACGGAGAGCCCGAGCCATCCTCACACACACAGAATCCAAACAATCCTCATACAGAAATTCCGAGTGTACCCCCGCCCCAGGCTCTGAGTGGTCCGCACACACTAGAGAACCTAAGGTCCGAGGCAGGTCTGCTAAACCGGAGCTTGGGAGCCACGGTGCTGGCATCTGCGCTTCCCAAGCCTTTACCGCCCAAGGCCCGTACAGCTGCACCCTCAAATTGGAGAAGCAGCACAAGTCGTGTCCCTGACGCTGGTCTTTCTCCCTTGGTTGCCCCAGCCTTGACATAGGCAGCAATGTCGGTGGACAAGCTTCTCCTTAAGCCTCACCGTCACCTCATTAGATCCTTACTCCTGGTAATTTAAGTGCTTTTTAGCAGCAGAAACAACCAAGAGGCCAGCTGAGGGATGGTTCTCAGCCCTTGACTGGCTCCCCAGCTTCTCACTGCACTTCAGGTGCCCCCTTTTCTTCATGCTGGTTCGAATCCCATGGAAGGCCCCAGCCCCCCCTCAGGAGTTTACCGCCTCAGTTTACGTGATCTCAGTGACCAAGGCTGGGTCACTGTATTTAGGACCCAGTGTGGGGTTAATCTCACACATGATCCCTGTGCCTGCTCTAGAGGAAGCACATCATTAGTGTTGAGGGAGAACAAAACCCCTCCTGTGGATGCCCTCAGCGAGCACTCGGGAGGCCTGGGAGGAAACTAGCTGATTGCTCATCACAGAGCAGATAACGAAGAGCATCTGCCAGAGGAACATGAAACCGTGGCCTCTTCCAGGAATGTCTCTGCCGGGAAAAGTGCTGGCTTAAGATGCTCAATTTTATGGAGAGCCTGTTTCCTTCGCCAGACAAAGGCTGATTCTCAGAGCCTCACAGCGGAAGGACCCCTCAGTCAGCTAAACAATGAAACCCGAATCCCTGCGGAAACCAAGGCTTCCCTAATGCAGTCTCTTTTCCTTTCCACCTTCCCAGGAACAACCACGGAATCCATCCCTGTGATCATTTCTCCCCTGGAGACAATACCAGCCTCTGTGGGTAAGGGCCAGCAAGGCCGGTGCAGCTCATGTGCCCAGGGTGGTGCCGGAAATCGTCAGGGGCTTGGGGACCTGTGTGTGCTGAGCACAGCAGCCTTAGGGTGCAGAGCGCCCGAGTGGAGCCCGAGAACCACAAAGGGACCTTTGCCCTTGCTCAGCATTGCCAGCATTGCCCTTATTCCAGAACAGCGGTACTTGATGTTCGGAAGGCTATACCTACAAACACCTAAGTGTAATGGGGCAGATATTTTGGCAAGCACTACTAACCACAGGACAGAGTCCACAGAGCTGGCATCTTTGGTACATTTAACGTAATTCACGGTCTCAATATTTAGCAGCTGCTCAGAATTCCTATTTGTCAAACAAAGGCAGCAGTGACTGCCAGCAGTTTCCTGTCGCTAGCGGGGCTGGTATAGTCAGCCACTCTACGGTATGACCAAAAGGGGTTTCTGCTGTCACCCCATGCAGGTGCAGGGTGTCCTGACCAAAAGTCTTGTTAGGTGGTCCACAGTGGGTGGCCAGTGAGGGCACGTGCGTGAGTGGACCGTACTAGACCATTTCTCAAGTTCATGTTAGAGAGGGGCTGCCCATTTCTGGAGCATGTGCTCTGCCCAGTGGGAGTGCAGAACACAGCAGAGTCACATGACCACTTTTGTTTGTTTGTTTTGTTTTATCCCAGTTCTGGGCCTGGGGCCAGGCTTTCTGTACTCCAGGCATGAGCTAGCTCTAAGGCGCTAGGGTAGCTGGAGGGAGTGTTTAAAGTCACAGGGACAAGAGGTGATGGCGAAGATCTCTCTGAGTGTGACATGGGCAGACAGACAGGTTGACAGGCAAACTGCAGAAGGAGCAGCTTCAGAAGTAAGAAGTAAGCGGGTGGGGCTGACTCCTGCTTTTCACTCACCTCGTTGGTGACTCAGAAAGGAAGGTAATGTACTATGGTTGAGGCAAGGGACTGGCACCATGGCATTGCACAGCCATATGGAAGGCACTGTCCTTAGACTCTGCCACTGGTTCTCAAAGGGTTAGTGCTAAACCTGGGCCCTCTTGGAATGGAGCATTCCATTGGGAAAGAGTAGAGCAGAGGCCAGCTATGGGGCCAGAGAAAGAATCACACACGACTACATTTTCTTGTAGTTAGAATCCATTGTGGGAGAAAACAGCCCTTGAGTAGGGAATGCTCCGTGGGAGCTCAGTGCCCTTGGTGAAGCCAGTCAGACCGTGTGCGTTGGGGCCTTTGCCTGCTGCATAGACAAGTGATCTAGAGTCATTTGGTAGATAAGTACCAAAGCTTTACTCGAGCAGAACCATCTGGGGAAACTAAAGTTCCTTATATGGAAGGACTTGACCAATGCGGGCGGGAGGGAGTGTTGGAGAAGACGGGCAAGGCTGCGTGCTGAGAGCTTTCTGAGGGGTGGGAGCTGAGGAGACCATTTCCCTGCTGGGCTCTGATGGTTGGCTTGTTATGTCTTGCTCTGCCCAGGCTCCAGACTGGTAGTCCCGTGCAAGGTGTTCCTGGGAGCTGGCACACCTTCTAACACCATTGTGTGGTGGATGGCCAACAGCACTTTCATCTCGGTGGCCTACCCGGGAGGCCGCGTGACCGAGGGCTTGCACCAGTAAGTGGCCGAGGGTCCTCCGCTGCGGTCTACTTTCTCCTGGAGGGGACGTCACATTCGGGGTCTCTTAATGACGTACAGATACTGTAGTAAAAGTGACTTTTTCAAAGGTTACAAACTGCTGGGGGTTTAGGACTTTTAGAGGTGAAATCTGCTAAATATAGTCTTGAGAACCAAACGTTCTTTAGACTTGTGTTGAATTGCACTTTACTAGTTGACTCTTTAAACTTTTATTTCCTGATTTTTTTGCATGTCTAAAATAGTTCAGAGTTGGCACATTTCCATTTGCCACTCTGCCACACTCATTACCGTTAAAGATTTTTCATAAGTCCTCATGAACATTATAAGGCCTGACACAGTACCGTACTGACACCGTGTTCTGGAGTGTCTTTAAAGGAGGGAGGGGGAGAGAGAGGGGGGAGAACTACCTCTGCATAAACACCATCTCTTAGGACAGTTTCTACACTCTGAAAGCCGAGAGGGAAGGAGAGAGACGGTGCAAGCTCTCACGTACTTTTTTACGTTGCAGTGCTGTGACTTTAACTAGCCTGGGCGTTGTGCGTGCCACTCTTTGGCATTTTGGGGAGATTAACAAGAATGCCCTCTCTGGGTACACTCGGTGGGTGAACATGGTACTTGGTGGCACACTCATTTGCTCTCAGTTCCTTGTTGCCAAAGACTTAGTCACAGCAAATGCCTGGTGCTGGTGGCTCAGCCTGTTGCTCAATAGTCCCGGCGAGCACGGTCTCCATGCCTTTATGCCGTGAACGGATAGTGGTGAGGTGCTGTGGCTTCTGTGTAAAGCACACATGGGAGCCACCCTGGCCGGGGCCTTCCCTGGCTGTCAGACGGAGCTGACCTGCACTTGTTTCCCCATGAGGGAGGACACCCCGGAGCCCAGATCCTGGGAACTCCCTGTGCCTCACCATGCCTGTGAGAAAGCCCAAGTCCCCACACTAGACTTTTCTGTTCCTGCTTGATTAGTGAAGGTATTTTCGCTCACTCCAAAATGAAGTTTTCCATCTAGACCAGGAGGAGGGTGTGGGCTTTCACTGTGACAAATTTCCGGTTACAAAGGACAACATCTTTAGGCTACATGGTCCTCCAGGAACAGGCCAGAAAGTCTCTCAGATGAGAATCAAAGATGGTGGCAATCTACTGAAGTTGTGCTCAGCTTACCAACAGATGTTTCTAATCTGAGACTGTCTGCCTGGTTGCCCCGTAAAAGACAAGCCTAGCTACACACATCATGCTCTCCATACATCATGTGCTACATACATGCATCATGCTCTATATGCATACATTATGCTTTACACACATCATCTTGTTCTACATACATGCATTATGATATATTATGTTCTATATACATGCGTCATGCTCTACATACATCATGCTCTACATACATACACTATGCTTTACACACATCATCTTGTTCTACATACACACATCATGCTCTACATACATACATCATGCTCAGTAAAGTGTGTTCTCACCCAGCCAATACTCAGAGAACGATGAAAACTACGTGGAAGTGTCACTGATATTCGATCCAGTCGCTAGGGAGGATCTGAGGACAGATTTCAAGTGTGTCGCCACGAATCCGCGGAGCTCGCAGTCCCACCACACCACAGTCAAAGAAGGTATGTATCCGCGGCCCGCGGAAAGGAAAACCAACTTGTCGGCTGCTTTATGATGCTACACGCCGTCTAGATGTTTCCTTGCAGGGCATTGAAAGCAAACCTCAAACTGTGTGTGTGTGTGTGTGTGTGTGTGTGTATGAAGGCCAGAGACAAGGTCTTCCTCAATCACTCGTACTTTATTTATGTAGGCCGGGCCTCTCTGGCCAGGAGCTCAGTGATCACACCAGCCCAGCCACTCAGCCAGCTGCGGGCTCCCTGTCTGGAGTCGGGTGCTGGGGTGACAGGCAGGCTCCACACCCGTGGGCGTATATGTAGGTGCTGGGACCCGTAGTCTGGCCCTCATTCCTGTGCAGGTACATACTTTACTCACCAGCGACTTCCCTGCCCCACCCTCTGCTTTTTAAAAAGAATCGTCAGCGGAGTGGACACTTGGCACTGGGAAATTATACTCACATGAAAACAGCCCAAGCTGGACTTCTTTTTAGCAAACACACAAAAGTCCGAGGTGAACTGAACACGCCTCGTCTCCTCGGGGCTCTGCCTTGGAGCATCAGCGTTCGTTGGCCTCACACGGTCTCTTGAAGGGGGTGCAGCGCTCCGTCTCTGTCCTGCTTTCTGACCAGCAGGGTTTCAGGGCAGCTGGCAAGTGCAAGGTCAAAGCCATCAACAACAGGAAATAAACGCAGCGGAAAAGGACATTTCAAAAGGAAAGAAACGAACCACAGTGAGTTAGTCTTAATGTCTGAATGTTAAGGGGGACTGTGAGGTGCAGGTCACACAGTTTCTGCTGACAGGCCCTGGATCCAAGTGTCTGCAGGCCACAGCGACCCTGGAGAGGGGTCTGGACTCCAGAGCAGGGCTGCAGCTGTCCGAGAAACCCCTCCGTCTGTACCGGTTTGCATGTCCAGGGAGGCGGCTGTAGATGTATCTGAAATGAGGACAATGACTTGGCCAGACCCCAGAATGGCGATGGATACTAAGCCCAGCTCCCTCTCAGCACCCACCCACCCGAGCCTCTGCTAGACCACGGGCACATCTCTGGCCTCTATCAGGAAGCTCACACAGGCTCTCCTGAGCAGCCCCTGATCACAACTGCCCTGGCTCCTTTCAGACTGAGGTTTGCAAGTAAAGCTGGGGTGCCTGGGGTGCTGGCTCAGGCCACCCAGTCCCACCCAAGCTGGGAGGGTCTGGCGAGGCGGGAGCAGCTTCCCCTCGGGGTCACACTAGCGGGGGAATGTGGACTTGATGTGGTCCCTGCCGTCTTTTTACGTTTGATCACCTGGCCCTGACTTAGCGTGTCGATCCCAGGGGAGGCTGTGGCTGCTTCCCAAGGGCACTCAAAGATTGAGGGGTCTATGCAACTTGTTTCTCAGGAAATCACAGCTTCATTATTCCTCATCCATGTGGAATTGTAAGGTAGTGTGAGAATCTTCCGTAGAGCCAGCTTGCTTCCTGGGCAAGAGCATGGCAAATGATAGCTTCAGTGTGGAGTCTGGTCCTCGGGAGATGTTCAAATGGTAAAGAGGACCTGAGTTCAGATGCAGGCATCCGTGAAAAGAGCCAGCAATGTACCAGGGACCCATGATCACAGCCCTGGGAGGAGATGGAAGTCCTGGGGCTCACTGGCTAGCCAGTCCGGCCAGTAGATGACCTCTGGGTTCACTGAGACACTGTGTCTAAGAGAGCAAAGTGGAGAGTGATAGAGGGGGCGCCCGGGTCATCTCTGGTCTACATATACACACATCTTCACTAGCCCTGCAATCCTCTCCCGCAAACACATACATTTAACCCATGCATGCCCACATGCTTACACCCAAACACACACCTTACAACCACTGCTCATGCACACACACACACACACACACACGTGTACACACAGAGGCTATGAACCCCCTCTAACAAGTGTGGAAGCCTACACACCTATAACCCTAGTCCTTGAACGGAAGCAAGGGAGTCAAGTTTGAGGTCCTCCTGGACTGCATGGGCCAGACCCCATCTTTGAAAGAAAGCAGATTCTGGCCTCATCAACATGACGTCTAATAACCCGTCCTCACAGTTGCTTCTAAATACTGTGCTCACAATCTCCTCTTGTATTTCCTCAACAGAGATGTCTAGGAATCAAATATATAATATCTGTGCCCAAGAAATAACCTTGGCATTCAAGGCACGTAACCAAAAGTCTCCCCTTTGCCTTTGTGTCCTGTTCAGTCTTCCCGACGCCCGTGGTCGCTGGCACGGGCTGTGAGGCTGGGGCCTGTCCTGGCACCTCATGCACAGCTAACAGACAAGGCACGTACCGTCTCGCACCCGCTGCCCACCATTGGTGCGGCCCCGTGGCCTCTGCTCCTTCTGATGTCCTTTCATCAGACTTTGCCACCTTGTTTGGTCTCTGACATCCTCAAGTGGCTTTGGTGTAAGAGACAAGCTTTCCAGAAATTGGTGCACACTTATCAAGGAAAACAAACTCTGGAATTTTCTTTCTTCCCCATCAACCCGCGCTGTCCTGTTCTGCAGTGAGCGACGTCCCCCCTCACGCCCTCTCTTCTCTCCACAGTGTCCTCCACCTTCTCCTGGGGCATCGCCCTGGCACCTGTGTCTCTGATCTTCCTGGTTGTGGGGGCAGTATGGGTGCACAGACGCTGGAAGCGCAGGGCTGGAAAGACGTACGGACTGACCAAGCTACAGCCTGACAACCAGGACTTCCCTTCCAGCCCGAACCAAATAAAGGAAATGAAATAACACAGGCTGACCGTGTCGTTTCTGGGGGCCGCTGTGCCACTTAGAGGTTCTGTGTTTGCCTCTGTGTTAGTCAAAGCTGGAAGTCTTACACTCCACACTTCTCTGAAAGTCAGTGCCGGGGGCAAGCGTGCAGGGCATGAGCGGACATGGGCTCCGCGACCCCGTGAGAACAGCGTGTGTGGAAGCACAGCAGCTGTGGAGGTCTCGTGGAGCGGGGGTCCTCTGATCCTGAGTACAGCACCGTCCCTTCTCACCCCTCCAAAACAGCCGCGCAAACAAGGCACCAGCAGTGTTGCGTAAGTGTGAAAAACCTCCAGAGCACTCTGAGGTTAACCGCTCCCTCGGTTACGGTGTCTTTGTGATTAGGCTGATGGGAGAAGCTGGAGGCGTGAAGCTGCTTACCATCTAACGCTCCTTGAGAAAGGCTGATTTTCATTTTGATTCTGGAAGGACGGTTTAGAAGCAGAAGAATCAGCAAGGATTACTGATTCAAAAATTAGCACTCATCTTTTTGTGGCAGATAGAAACCATGACGAGAATCCTTAGCTGGTCCGCACTGCAGAGGACACTGCCTATGGGCTGCCTGCACCCAGTGGACACATCCGTAGCACAGCTCCTATCCCCAAGGCCCCAGGACTGTCTCAGAGGAGGTGGAAGGATTATAGGAGCCGCACGTCCTGCATCCGCCGTGAGACATCTTCATGTATGAGAAGGAGGCGGCACTTAGGAAACAGCAGCAATATGGCCTTCTAAACAAGACCTGAGCAATGGCAGCGCTGGTTGATGGGGAATTCCACAGGCTCTACCCCTAGATAAGACCTACAGCTCCCCAGTGGCCGCCGGAGGGAGAAGGCTCAGACTTCTGCAGGGGTGGGCCCCAGCAGCTCGCTCGATCCCAGCTGCTCAGCTCTGAGTACGTATACATGTGAGCCACATGAAACAGGCTCAGCAAGTTATGTCTAATCACACACACATATATAATGCACATATGTGCATATAAATTAAAAATTTAATATATAAATAATAGAGACTATGTAACACTATACAATAATGTTTAAATAATAGATCACATACATCTATAATATAACAATAAATTATATAAATTATATACTGTATGTACATATGCATACATACAGATGTATGCATGCATACATACAAAATAATAAAGTTTGGATCATGAATTTGAGAAGGAGTTGGGGGCATGGAAGGAGTTGAATGAGGAAGAGGGTGTATGGATATGATAAAAATATAGTACTCATGTATAAAATCCTCAAAAAATTGTAAAAAACAAAAGAGCAAAAGCTGTAGCACCATTCTGTTGAGAGTTAAACTCTCAACAGGAATGTTAGGAAGACACAATCTGACAGCACTCACACCCCTGTCAATGTAGACAAGCACAGGAGACAAACACACAAGGCTCGTGTCAGGGATCACCAGATGTAAAAGTGACTTCGAGGTGCCTGCGCACTCACTCCCTGTCTGCGTTTCATGGCCAAGGTCAAGGCTGTTTGGAAGCCCCCGCTCCTCCACCCTGTGGTTTTTAGCATTTTGATAACTAATGAATCATAACAAGTAGTGAGGTACTGGCATCAACTTGGATGAGTTTCCAAGGACCAAGGGTCTCTTACCTTTTCTGCTCTGTGACGCCATGCTGCTGCCGTAGAGCCGTTGTGATTTTATTTCACCCTACAAAATGGCAAATACCGCAGACAATTGCTTCTGTGTCCCAGCTGCCTAAGTCCAGGACGTGCCACAGTGCTAGGCCTAGCAACTTGCCTTAGGCGATCCTTAGGAAGGGAAGATGATTAGCGATACACCATTCAGTGTCCTGATGGTAAAAATGATGCACTAATTATGTGATAATTGTCCAGGTTGTGAGACAAAGAAAACGTGAATGGGAAATTATAAGGTGTTTTGTGTGATCCTTGGAATTGTTACCAGTGGTCGGAATCTGGACTGTTTCCAGGTTCTTGGCCCCTTGGTTAAAGGACTGAAATGAGTCTGTGTATAGGTTGGCAAGAGTAGCCAGGGGACTTGTTGAAAGCGGACTGCGCAGGCCAGCACGACACTGTCAAAGCTGACCGTGGCAACTGAGGAGGCGCGTATTGAAAGGCCTGACTGTTTCCCAGTCTCCTATGAGATTCAAAAGGAGAGGAGGTTCGGTCTGTAGGGTGTAGTTGGCACACGTCTCTGTTTTGATTGGCTGACTGTGTTGCATAGTCATTTCTCTTGGTGTGTCCCTTTCCATAGTTCGTCTTATTATAGTCACGTGCGTACCCAGTTGTGCATGTACATAAGATGGTAAACAGAGGGTTCTTCCCAGGAGTTCACTCAGAGACTCAGCTTGGCATCGTTATAAAACTAATCCCATACCAGGTCTAGGCTTGGCTGGCCTGCCACCTTGGTACCTAGACACAAGCTGAGCGTGACTGAGTAGAACCTGAGTTTGATGGTTGTTCAGAGAAGGGAGAACACACTCCATTGTTCACGGCCGGTGTGTGTGCTGCTTGATTCAGGTTGGGCTATGAGGTTAACGAAGGGTTGCTGGGAGCATTGTTTGAAGTCAGGCGTGTGCATAGGCTGAGCCAAGTAGAACCCAGGTGACTAAACCATTCTCCATGCTTGAGTACCTTAGTTACAATGTCACTAAACTGCACCCAAAGATGAAAGTTGGAAGTCAGGAATGGAAAGAGAGCTATTTGTGTCAGCTTTGTGATCACAGGCAAATCCTTTAATCTTGCAGGGTACCAATTTTCTTATTTGAAATGTTGGGATGATAACAAAGCCTCTGTTAACTATTTTACTATATCTTGCATATTTATACCTTTCCTTTTTTTAAAAAATGAAAAGTCAAAGCCAGGAGCATCAACAGATATCAAAATGGCTGCTTTGTATGGCTACCCAGAAGCAAACCACAGCTTTGCAGACTGGAGCTGCTGGTTTCTGTCCATTACCAGCCATCAGAATGTGGGCACGCCTGCATGCTTGTGGGTTGTCATTGGCCGCCATTGCTCTTTGCAGGCAGAGCAGCCCAACAGTAAACAGCCACTGAGAACCAGGGCCACCTTGACTTCTATTTTGACATTTCCCTATTGTTGGCTTCCCTTGTCCTGTCCTCTTGTCTTCTAATTGTTTGAGGGGGAGAAGAAATAGGAAGAGGAAGCAGAGGCTTTTGAGCATCTGGGTTTACCCATGAAGGCAGAGTGCACGGCTTGACACTTAAGGAGCAGGTAGGGCAGGGCAGGGCAGGGCAGGGCATGCTGCGGGGCGGCAGGCTTGGGCCCTACTGCCCTTCACTAGTCTCTTCAGCTCCCTGGAGTCCACACCTGTGGATTCTGGCAGCTTCAGCAATGCCCAGAAAAGATCCTGACTCGACTAGAAGGAAGGGCCAGCTACACTCCAAACTCACCTTGACTGCAACCAGGTTGTACTGCCTTCAGACTGTGCTTCCGAAGCATCAGAAGATGCGGGACAGGTGTTCTAAGTGACTTACATTCACGTCAAAGAAGAAGCATGATGAGATCAACAAATTAAAAGAAAAAAATGGCTGTTATCTTTATGAAAGACACACTGGATTATTTAAGAATGTGTCTTAGGTGGAAGAACCAAAGAAAGAAAATTGGCCACATGTTGACAAATTTTGTCACTGGTGATAATTTTCCTGGACTTCTGTATGCCATCCTGTCTATTCTTGCCTGTGTCTGAAAACTTCCACATACAGAATAAGATATAAATACACCAGGAAGTGGATTTCATAATGTGGCTGACCCTTCTATCTCTCTAACTAACTAACTAACTAACTAACTAACTAACTAACTAACTAACTAACTATCCACATATCTATCTGTCTGCCTATCTATCTATCTATCTATCTATCTATCTATCTATCTATCATCAATCTGTCTGTCTGTGTGCCTTTCTGTCTATCTATCTATCTATCTATCTATCTATCTATCTATCATCTATCTGTCTGTCTGCCTATCTATCTATCTATCTATCTATCTATCTATCTATCATCTATCTGTCTGTCTGCCTATCTATCTATCTATCTATCTATCATCAATCTGTCTGCCTATCTATCTATCTATCTATCTATCTATCACCAATCTGTCTGCCTATCTATCTATCTATCTATCTATCTATCTATCTATCACCAATCTGTCTGTCTGCCTATCTATCTATCTATCTATCTATCTATCTATCTATCTATCATCAATCTGTCTGCCTATCTATTTATCTATCTATCTATCTATCTATCTATCTATCTATCTATCTACCTATCTGTCTATCTATGATCTATCTGTCTGTCTGCCTATCTATCTGTTTATCTATCTGGTTGATTCTCTTGACTATTGGAATATGGGATTTTTTTCACACCCCCTCTATGAAGGATGGATGTGGGGAGGCTGATCCCATTGGGGACTTCCACTTCCGTGTGTTGTGGTAGGAAGAGGACAAGCCCTATGTAATAAGAAGCCAACTCTGCAAGAGGCAACTGAGGATGACAGGGGGTGTCAGCAATGGTAGCCAAAAGTGACTGGTACACTAAGAGGTAGATCTGATGCTTCACGTATTTCAAATGCCCAAGGGAATGCAGGAGGCTCTTACATAGAAAAGACAGACATTTACTGCCAGGGTCTCCCGGCAGGAGGGCACTTACGGAAGGCTGTGTCGCCGGCACTGGGCATGGCGCTTTTCCACACTGTAGGCATTTACACCATGTCCTCAGCAGGACATAGTTTGTCTCCCACCCCAAACTTGCCCTGGCTTTTGCCCTGACTTCCTGTCAACAGTTGGGCACAAGTGCTCCCTGTGTTTTTATGGTTGTTCTCCACCTCCTGGGCGCCTGCCACATTTGTCACCTCGTCAGGGCTAGCTGTTACGGCTCCTGGGCTCCAGGAGATCACTGCTGCCCACAGGGGTGTGGCCCTCGGGTATTCAAGGACAAGCTGCTCAGCTGCCAACCTTGGCTGCAAACACAGCCAGTTACGGCTGCCCTC